CTTGCTTACCCTCTGGAAATCTAAAATTGACCTTCAGCTACTTATCCCATAGTTCATCCTTTTCTTCTCTAGTATCTCTTTCTAGTTAGGGATTGCTGGGTTCAATTTATCTCCTACTAGGGCCACGATCGCATTATGAAATCATCCTCTGAATTCCTTCGGCTCAAGGATCTCCCCTGCTGGCCCGACCTCCATTATCACATAGCATGCCTTATCTGAATATTGGTTTGCTTTTCTATCCCCTCGTTTCCTCTTTGGCTTGGTAGTCGTGTTCATGGTTGTTTCTTGAGGTTGTGGAGCAAAGGCCTCAATGTCTGTCTCTATGGCTGTTGCCTCTGCTCTCCTTTCCTCTACTCTGTCTTGTCCGGCGAGATGTCACGGACGTCGACGTCGTCTTTTCTGAGTTTCAGGAGAGACCTGTATATACGACAAGTCAAAGTGTTAGCAGAGGTAACACAGCCAAAGCTTTAGGAAAACTTACAAGCTAAGGCTTTATCCCTACCTCCTCGTTCGGGTCCAAATCTTCCTCCGTTTGTCTCCTTCTGGCTTCACATTGGAAAGTATCCTCGGGACTTACATATTCCTCTTTTGAGTCCTCATCATCATCATCCTCTTCTTCTTTGCCTTCAGCAGCCTCTCCTGCTCTTCCTTCTGCTCCCCCTTCCTCCTCGTCACACTGCTCCTGAGTAAGCATCACTTCTAGATCATTTTCTAACTCGTTATCGAACTGCTCCTGAGGAAGCTTGTACTCTAGTGCTTGCTCCTCATAGGTTGGTTGCTCATCATGCTCGGGGCATCGGGCTGCACTGTCTGGTGTCTGTGATATTATTTCGTGCTTTTGTTCTAATAGATGCAAGAAAGCTGTGCTTTAGGTATGCGAGAAGGTATAAGAAATAAAAAAGGTCTATAAACCAAAGTAGTCCTATAAAACAACAATATATAAAAAAAAATGAGTAGTAACAGTAGTAGAGGCCTCAGAAACATGTCAATCATCATTTGATCATGAACTTAGAGCATCAAGGCACCATAACAGAGAACATAGGAGAAGGTAATGTAGGGGCAGCTAGTAATGATGCCAAGTTCCTCACAAGTTTTTGATCATCAGCTCATATTCCATATAGTGTATGGATTTGAACAATTTCATCATCGGCAAAACAAAGGAGTGGAGAGGAGAGGGGAGATTTGGCAAAAAAAAAAAGCCTTGGGCATCGTCCGGTTGCTCTGTTGTGACACTCTGCGTGTCAGGCTATGTCGGCTTAGATTGGCCTCCCCCAGGTGGACCTTCTGGAGTCTTCTTGGTAGAGAAGGAGATCGGCTCTAGGGGCTGACGCGCGGGCCCAGAAGCCCCCAAATCCTTAGAGGCCGAGGGAAAGCTTTGTCTTCTTGTGTCACGCCCCGGACGTGACCCTGTCGAGGAGCAGTTGGTAGGGCTACGCCTAGGGAGCGGCGCTAGGGAGCCCCTGATCATTGGTGGCTCGGGGCCTGTCTTCTTGCGCCCGGGCTTTGGCTGGCATCGTTTGCCGGGCAAGAGCCAAGGGCCGGGCTCGAACGTGCCGTTGATCGGGAGCCTAGGGCTCGAGCGAGCCCCAGATGACGATCGTGGCCAAGTCAAGCTTGGCCAGTTCTCATTGCCATAGGGTGTGCGCGAGCGTGCCCGATGGGCATAGCCTTCGAGCCCCGGGCGATCCTGAAGGGGTCGGTTGGAGGGTCTTCTTCGGTCGGGAATCATTAGACCCGAGGCTTAACATACCCATATGTTAGGATCTCGTCAACTTGTAAAATCATTTGTGTAGCAGTGAGAGATGAGATTCAGGCAGCTTTCAAAATGAAATAAAATTATCTTATAGAACATTGAGCATTGTGTCTACATTTATTTGTTTTCTCACGTCAGATAATACGAAGAACAACCATGTTAGAAGCATTTAAGCATTTCCATTCCATAAATTTATTTCACGTTTTGCAGTTCTGATAGAAAAAGAGGCTCGTTGCATTTTCTGTCCTTGTTGACCCGTAAAACAGAAGACTAGGGTGGGGTGTGCCCGGAAGTGCTTGTGTATCCCGTTTCCAGTAGTGAAACCTGGCATTCCCGAAAGTATCTTGTTTGATCGCTAATAAATTTATTTTGGTCTTGATCGCTAATAAATTTATTATTTTCAAAAACAATGAAGTATCTTGTTTGACAACCAACTTTATTTATGCTTGTTCAAGAAACACCACAATTCTGATAGGTGAAATTAAATGGCATGCATGCTGTTAATTTCAAACTTAATACTGGATGTACCATTATGTATTTTCACCTATATATAGATAAATGACGAACTTTCTATATGAGACCATTTATTCTTCCTGCAGTTTCCTTGTTGTCAATATATGGGAGGGCACATATATCTAGAGAGAAAAAAGAGCAAACTAATTCGAAAAAAAAGAAGATGAAACAGTAAAGCATGCATAGCGTAAAGCCCTAACGGAATTTGTCGGTGGTTCATGATAAAGTGATAGCTGAATCGACGGCGAGTCTGGAAGGACTTTTTTAAGCATTGGTGTTGGGCATCTGTAGCATCCAACTAGAATCCGAGTCTACAATTCTACTCCAAGCTCTAGATTCCTTGTCGATGGATGGTGCAGGAAAACTCTGTACACGTAGATATCTCATGCATATATTCACATAACTAGTAACTCTGTCTGCGCATGCACGAGCTTGCATGTATATCACATAGTTGAGACTTGGATCCGTATCATGTTTGGGCTAATCCCCTCCCAGAATTTGTAAAAGAATGTCTCAACGATTCGGCTGAATCTGTCCAAATCGAAAGGGCTTCAAGACTGAAGTTTTAAAAAATCAAATAAACATTCGTACTTGGATTCGAATTTGAACTGTTTTATTTGTATTGCACATTCAAGGATTCAATCCATTTCGACCTCTACTTGGCCATGCCTTTCAAAAACTAAAACAAAACGAAGGCCATGTTGTCAGAGACCTTGATATCCAGACAAGAATACTCAACAACAACACTAAGATCATTTGCTCAATTCCAGTTACGATATAAGAGGATTTAGAGGGAATTAGGTAAGGAAAGACGGGTATCAGAGGTAGACAGCTAGAACATTTCCTGGACAGAGATACAGGTTATTGGTTCTGTTCTCTTGGATCCCCCTCTCCCAACATTGCTCATTCCTTTTGCAGTTGAAGTATTTTCTTCAACCCAGCCCACATGGCAGTCCAGTTTCGGCCCACTTGGCAGCCCAGTACATGACACATGCCTCCAAAATTAACGGTGCTACTTTCTTTTTATCCTTTGGTTACTATCAAAACTAAGAAATTTTTCCATCATCCCTCCATGTACATGACCAACACTTTTTATGTTTACCATGGTAGCTTATACAAGGCTATTAACACAAATCATTACAACAGCAATAATATTGTGCACAGTAATCAACTATAATATAATTATTGAATATGAGGTAGCTCAAGCATCCTCCTTTCCCTGTGAAGACCAAGTTTTTGCACCTTTCACTTTTATTAACTTTTAGTAGTAAAGAACAGAAACTAATTTACAGTTAAATGAATATGTTTATGAGAAAGGTGGACATCTTGAATTCACTCATTTCTTATTCAGTAAAATCATAGCCAGAAATTCAATGATCCGGAAGAACAGACCATACATAAACAAAATCGAAATACAGAGCTTGAAATGATGGACGTCAAAGTGCTTCTCGAACAATAAACCACAGCGAGTTATCAACCACACTCCCAGATACCTATAAACAGCTCGTAGGTTAGTACAAATATGCAGTCGCAGGCTCGCAGCCACTTGGCAAGAAACACGCCCCTTGCAATTTACAGTAGTAGATTTAGATATGATCCTCTTGTAGTCTCCTAGATTGATCTTATGGTTCATCAGACTAAATTTTGTATATGATGTTGTCCTGTTCAGTACTCGTAGATTTACACTAGCTTCTTACTGAATCAATTATTGTGGTTCTGTGGTCTTTGAATGAACCATACGTATGGCTCCTGTATTTCTTCTGCCTATGTTGGATTAATAGTACCACCATGTATTTTGTTTCTTAGAAGCTTGAACCAATGTTCCAAATTAAAATGAGTAATTATTCGAAGAAGCTTGAACCAATGTTCCAAATTAAAATGAGTAATTAATTTTATGTTCAAATTAGTTAGAAACGGCGTAATATCTTTGCTTGTTGCATCAACTACAGAAGCTAATTGACGCACTGAGGCTGAACGGCCTCATCAGAAGTTAACGTCAGAAGTTAGCACCATGCATACAATTCGCTCCCTTGGAAACTCTACTCTGAGCATGAGGTTCGAACCTCGGGTCGAACCATAAACCTTATTTTACCTCAACAGACCGGGGGTTCGAGAAAAGGTTAGCTCTGATCTGGCCCCTTGCAGGCATATCCTGAACGATCTCAGTTGGGCACTAAAAACTTTCCATGCATAGATACACACAAATACTTGAATTGGTGACATAAAATTTGATTTAGCTGACGAGTCATCAAAATTTCTTGAACATCACTGCATATTGAATATTTTCCAAAACACATCATAAGAAATGCCACTAGGGCCATCGATCTAATATGTTGATTGACCCTTACCTGTTTTCTTGGGGTGATGACCAATCAATGATAAATTTCTTTCTTGTTTTAAAGTAATTATTATGATTATTCTCAATGTAAAAAAAGAACGTGATGATGTAGAGGCAAAGAGGAGTATATACTGTTAACGATGGCCAAAGGTTCTTTGACCAAGAACCTCATCATCAATATGGATTTATCTGAGTGACTTATTATCACACAGGACATATTTTCATTTATTGTTTAATATTGAGCGTACGCTCAGTACAATACTACACGGCATTTCATGACCCCGGAGATTATTTAGATAGGTCTAAACCCAGATGATACAAGGGACTTAAGAACCTTACCGTGTCTATATATTGGATATCCGTCCTCCATATGCATGGGAATGCAAGCATATATTTCTAACAAGCATATATCAGTTTGCACGAATTGGAGGGCATTTTGCAGCAGATATCTCTAGGAAGAGAGTCGCGCGCATATCCCTTCTCGGTCAGCTTCCTTCCAAGATTTATGCCCTTGGTAAAACCGGTTCCTTCATTGCCTCCATATGAATTTGCCTGCAAGGTGGTTTCTTGGGCCTTTGTTCCAAGAAAACTTGCATGATCAAAGTATCCAATAGTGCACATCATGTTCATCAAAATGAGCAGTGCCACCATTGTAGGCTTCATCTGCTTATATGTTAGATGCGAGTGTACGTGTTAGCCTTCAATTTCTGACACAATAAAAGGGAATTATATATTGAATCCTACTGAACAAAATAAAACCGATGGGCTCACAGAAAGAGAAGGACTCACCCCTGATAGCTGATTAGTTGAGGGCTTGTGTTGTTGATAACCAAAGATACACATGGGGCACGCTATATATAGCCATATTAATAGAGAAGTAGCTGTCTAGGTGAATATGACGCTCATGATATTATGCAACTCGGGTTGGGAAGCTGCAAGCCATTAAGTGATAATAGCTCTTGGCTACTATTGCAAGAATTGGTGTTGGCGGTGGGCAACCGGGACTGATGTCTCCTCCTATTGCTGATAGGTCATAAAGCAACAGTGTCAAAGGCTACCACTGACGATTCAAGGTACCTGGTAACAAGAACCCTTATCACTAGTACAAAAATGATTTTGCTAACGGTAAAAAACAATCTTAAAGGCCTGTTTAAAAAACCGCCCCTATTATTAGATGTCAAACGCGGCTCTCTTAAGAGAACCATCCCTAAAACCCTGTCTCTTCTAAAGACAGTTCCGTAAAGATGTCCGTCCCCAAAAATCCTATTTCAGGGGCGGTTCTCTTAAGGAAACCACTCATAAAATGCATACATTTTGGGCTGTTTTTTTAACGGAATTGTCTCTAAAAATTGATTTCCAACGATGAATGTGTAGCTACAGTGCCTCCTACCAAGGTTAGAGCCACCTCTGTTAGAAATAGAAACAAATGTCTGTAAAAATTATTCCGTACTATTGAATGCAATTCATCTTTGCCCTTCATGATACGGTACAAAGTAAGCTTGTATCATTCTATCTTATTAAAAATCCGAGTGCTGCTAGTGCATAACTACGGGGTGTCAGGTTCTAACACGTGCCCTAACTTTCACCAACAAAGTCCATGCAACAACTTCTGTTCAAAGCTTCTTTGGCTTTCTGCATTACTTGCAGTTTTTGTGTAACGGACATTTACTGAAAAAGCATGTCGATCGGTTGTTACAGGCTTTGCAGTGCCTCTTTAATTTATGATTGTCGACATGAACCACGTAGACACAAAAACAGATAAATGAACATACCACCCATTTCCCAAGGGACGCCTGACACGAACGAAATGATTAGCAGTAGCATGTCATAGCAACCAGAGTGCAGCATAGGTTGTCTATATATATGCTGATTGCCGAACGCGCTTATTTTTATGCCAAAAAAGACTACCTTCCATCCCTTTTCCATTTTGAAACCAGAGAAGCTTTATTCTCGAGACAAGAATGGCAGAGTACTCAGTACACCAGCCATTCTCTGCCATTGTGTCTGTACATATTTATAAAGCAGTTCTATTGTCATGATAAAAAGGCGCGGCCATGGTAACAAGGTTTGAACATAGACCTCGTGTCCTCTCCTTATCAAGAAACACAAAACTACAAAGTTAAACAAAACACACACCTATAATCCCTCTGTTGACAATTAATCCCATATTTGCTACATCGCCACCCATGTAACAGGGAAAGGATAACATTGGGCACCTATACCTATACCAAATGCTGCAAAGCCTGCACATGCAAATCCTATAAGACATGCCTCTGGAGAACAACGCATATATATGTGGCCAATGTGTAACTATGAAGGTAACTTGCAAAGGAGAGAATTTATTCTTTTTAAAAATTATGTCATTCCTCCTAAGCCAGAGTGACCAACAAGTAGTAGCCACTCCTAGCAAGGCTAGTGGCTTCATCTTCATATATTTTCTAAGGCCCCTTACCAAATGCCGAACCTATGTGATATGCTATGAGGTTTACATAGACATGAAGACACTTAAATTACTGACCAAATAGCTTAGGCAAGATGGCATTCAAAAAAAATAAGTGCTTAATTCATTCAAAACACTGGGATTCTTAGACATGCATGATTCTTGACAGTTGAAACAAAAATTCACAAATATTGGAACTTGCAATATTGGGTCCTCGCATTGAGCTAAGTGGCCTAATATAAACTAAAAAAATCTAATAGAAGCCTAACTGATGCAAAAAGAAATGTATCCAAACCATGACCACTACCATAGAATAGACCATCACTGCCTGGTCGCTCATCACCCGGTAGTGATAGGTGATAATAAGATATGTTGTTTGCAGGATTCAAACTCGAGACCTTAGCATTCACATTCCCTCGAGCGCACATACCAGCTGAGCTACGCGACACATGCAATTATATAGCAGAAGCTATTCTTTCAATTAACCACATATTTTTGAATCTTATATTGTATATTTGACACTCAAAAGAATCTCAAATGAGCACTGCAAATTTTATGTTGACTTTGTCTCCATTCGACATTGTTAATCAAGTCAAATTTGATCTGAGAACTTATATTAAATATTTGGACTTGTAAATCATCTCAAATTAAAAATTTATCAACAACAAAGTTTTAGATCTATTTAACTCTATAATTTTTATATAAATTTTATCTTAATCCAATCTCATATAAAAAAGTTATGAAATTTTTGTGCAAAACAGCTATCAACTGGTATTGATAGGTGGACTATCAATGCTCGTTTGTTGCTTAAACCGGCAGTGATAACTACCATGCCTATCACTGCTAGTTTTAGCCACGAACCGGCAATGATAGTTCTCCTATCACTGTCGGCCTCTATCATTGTTGGTTGAAGTCATGAATCGGCAGTGATACTCAATTACTGCAAGCTCAAAAACAACCGGCAGTGATAGTCCATCAGTGATTTGCCAATTCTGTAGTAACTGATGAAGTAACATATCCTAAGCTTCTGATAAAGAAATTATCAAGCACCTCATGTTTTACTACCGGTTTTGATAGTTTGGAGCTCACAAATGCATCCACAAAATACCACATCAAACAATTGTATGCTTGTCACTTGCAAGTTTATGTACCCATCAACTAGTACGCCTTGTCCTCTAAATAGACAAAATGATATGTTTGTATTGCTTTTGTTTCTTCATGACTGCTACTTAACCACAGCTAAGTAATATGATGAAATGATAGTAGTCACAATAATTTGGATAGGGAAGGATGTAAATTATTTAAAATCCAATGGAAAAGTTATTCAAATGAATTGTCATTTTATTTAACTGTGACCCGAGACAAGGGAAGAGGTTTGAAAAGATAATACAGGCAAATAGATGAAGATGGTAAGTGGTTTATCTTGTAATCACCTTCCTAGATTGGAAGTATGGATAGGCTACAACTATAGGTACATCTAGGAGAAGATTGGTTGTCATTACCCCAACAATAAGAGTCAATCTCCGAACTCGGGTAGTGGGTTTTGTGCACGCGCACTTCAACTTGTGAATAAGAATCGCAATAAACCCACCGAATATTTTGATACGTCCGACACACAAGTAAGACAGATGATATAATTATGTCGCCAATAACATGATATCAGCTCGATGGCACGCGCACCAAATACACACTTTTGATGTCTAGAATTTTATGGAAACACTTGTCATTCATATACATCACCATGCATGTGTGTGTATACTGATTTGGTATCAACCTTCTAGTGAATGGACATTTCAAAACGCTTCTAGTGAATGCATGGCAATCACATGTTCTAAAAAATCTTTCTTTGTTCCCTTTTTTTCTTTTCTTTTTAATTTTTGAGGAAATGGAATTGTTTTCAGCTAGCCTTGCGACCGCACATAGCCATGTTTTTACAAGATTTCATCAGCTAATTACATTCTCAACAGTGAAGCACATTTCAACACTAACTCTCTCCCATTCTAGCTGATATATGCCTATGCCTAAAACTTATTAGATTCAGCAAAATAGCATTTTCCTTTATTGTTCCAGATACAAAATGCGGAGAGCTCAAGGATATATCTTGAGCACCATCAAAATTGGGTGGCCAACCAAACTCCAATAATTGTTGGACAGTTATGCAATAGGAAAGAAATAAGATTAGACCACAATTTAAGTATTAGCTTGCCATTATGTATTCATCACACTGAACTGTATGCCGTTCCATAATCACTACTGGATTCAGGCGGTTTGCCGAGTGCCTAATGCACTCGGCAAAGCCTTTGCCGAGGACAGCACTCGGCAAAGAACCTTCGGTAAAAAATCCGTCGGCAAAAAATTCTTTGCCGAGCGCCTTTTATCGGACACTCGGCAAAGTCTTTGCCGAGTGCAATCTCGGCACTTGGCAAAGAAAAGTGACCGTCACGGCGCCGGTTGCGTTAGCACATGCTTTGCCGAGTGCCATGTCAGAGGCACTCGACAAAGATTTTTTTATTTTTTTTTCAAAATTTCTTTGCCGAGTGCCCTACCGGGGAGGCACTCGGCAAAGATTTTTTTATTTATTTTTAATAATTTCTTTGCCGAGTGTCCTGCCAGGTCGGCGCTCGGCAAATATTTTTTAATTTTTTTTTTCGTAATTTCTTTGCCGAGTGTCAGGGTCAGGGCACTCGGCAAAGAGGCTATTTTTTTATTCTATATTCACAAACATAGCATATAAGAGATATATATAACATCTGTGACATCACAAACACAATATAGCACATATATATCACATCCATCTCATCACAAAGGCAATACCACATATATATCACATGTCGATCACACAATATCTCACATACACGACATCACAAGCATAATAGGTCCAATATCCATCGAAACAAGTCGATAGTTGATCACAGTGCATCATATGTCCATCAAGCAGTGAAAAAGAGATACAAACTACCGGTGGGGAGGAAACTGAGTGCTTGGTGAAGGAAAAGTGCCGTCGCCTGCTTGCGCCTGAGATGGGTTATTCGAACCCGCCAACGGAGGCTGCATAAAGGACAAGAGATTGCATCTGTTAGAGTGGTCATCTAATGAAAGCACTAGTCGAAGCAATTTGGTTTCATACTCACAGGACTAGCTATAACTGGTGGCAACGGTCGAGCGAACTGCGGCACAGCTACACCGTGCATTTGCCCAAAGTTCTGTAGGA